GGCCCTCCCCAAAAGTTTCTCAGCGGATTTGGGCTGTACTCAGCAAGCGCAGTACAGCCTCCAACTCAGATTTGAAAAAAAATCAGTGGATGCCACTGGATGGTTGTTTTCTGACTGGTCGGCAGACCGCCGACCGGTCGGCTCTACTGGTCGGCTGCAATACGGTCGGCAGTCGCGGTTGGCGGTCGGCAGGGATGCAACCCCGCCTTTCGGTCCTCTCGCCCGTTTTTTCTCCCTGCCTTTTTTCTTAATCTCTTTTTGCCCTTTTTGGGATATAACTATTGCCTGATGGCCAGATTCCTAGTACGTGTTTTTCCTTCCCGCCTTCTTACTTTTTTCTCTTTTTGCCCTTTTTGGGATATAACTATTTGTTAATGACCAGATTCCTAGTACTGTAATCCCATTCGGGGTTGCTATGTGCATGATTGGACATCTTGAACTTCACAGTAATGGCGGCCAGATTCGTGCTTCCAAAGTTTGAACATAGCACAAGTGGGAAAGAAAAACAGGTAAGAGGGCCCGGACACGAAAAAAAATGTAGAAGTCCGGCGATTTCAGGAAAAAACATAGAAGTCTGTCATTTTCTCATTCTGTGTTCGGGATCGTAATGCATGAACCTGGATGTAATACTGGCCAGTGTCGTGGTGTCAGAGCATGAATACGTCAGCAGTGGGGCCTGCCCCTAAGAGTTCGGTTTGCTTCTAGTCTGTTGAAAAATCTACTTCACTTTGTTTTTTGGAATTGCAGTAGAGCCCAGTTAGGATATCCCTCCCCCACAACTACCCTTCCCGCTTCCCGCTGTTGGGAAAACGGGAAAATTCAAAATAGCCTACTCCCAAAAGAATCGTAGGCTGGGCCCGATCATGGTGGCCATTGATAAATCTCATCGGCAGCCGTCGTTTCGTTTCGGCCTCCTAAAGCACAGGGGGCTTAGTGGCGGCCCTCATGGGAAAAGGTAGTGGCGGTTTAAGGGCGACGCCCCCAGGTACTTCAAAATTATTTCATTCTGTTCATCTGATTGTCTCTCGATTCGAACTTGGGTCTGTATCTCAAGAATTCTTGGGTGTACCAACTGAGCGAGGACAGTCGGTGCACCGTGGGTTTTCATGGATGAATCGGGTTGCAATCACGGTTAGATGCAGTTCAGAAACTCTGAGGGCATACGTACACACCCTACCTCGGGATTTTCCTGGATGTATCTGACTGTCAATCCTACCAAATTCAGTCAAAAAATTCGATATTGTGAGTATGCTGGCTGCGAAGTACAGGTAATGGTTGCCTGACAAATGTTTGTCTTCTGTTCGGCTCGATACTCCAGTGGCAGGGATTCTCCGAATTCTTCAATGTTACTTCTGAAGGTGCCCCCATAGTCAAGCCATTACTCATCAGCAAGGTATTTAAGACCCCCTCGCTGCATCCCTCCCGCCCTGTTAGTGACCTACCCTCATCAGTACCCTAGATAGTGGCCTGGCTACTAGTGATTAGTTCCCTGAATAGCAATATTGTTAGTGACCTTCCTTGATTAGCACCCAAGACAGTGCCTTGGTTAGTACCCTGAATAGCAAGGTCGTTATAGACCTACCCTGATTAGTACACTAGATAGTAAGATACTATGCCTTCGACGGTACCCTGGGGGGCAACCTTGTTAGAAACCTTACGTGATTTGCACCCTAGATAGTACCTTGGTTAGTACCCCAGAGACCTACCCTGATTAGTACCCTAGACAGTATCATGCTTATGGACACACACTCAGAAATATGTGAGCGTGGCCCCTCTCTTAGTGATGTAAGAGAGGCATACAGCTGAGTGTGTACCCTGTTTTGATGTCTTCTCTCTCTTACTCACCAAGTCTGAATACTGAGAAATTATTTGTGGTTAGCTGTCATTTTGAATTGAATGTCATGCATGCAGCCTTAATTGCAGGTTCATATCGTCAAACAGAGGGCGGTTGGCATCACAAGTCATAATATCTGCTTTGAACAAGGCCTGAATCTGATTCCTCTTCGCAGGATATGTGTCTAGCTTTTCCAAGCGGCATGCCCAGTTCATTTCGATCAAAGCATTCTGCAATGTCGGCGCTGAGCACATATGCGACTCGAATGACGAGGTTCGCCAGTGCTTCCATGGGACATCTTGACAACGCAGTATTCGCCTTAGTCATTGGAACTATGTGTGACTCGAATGACGAGGTTCGCCAGTGCTTCCATGGGACATCTTGACAATGCCGTCCTCGCCTAAGTTATTGGAACTATATAAGCTCAAAATTTTTAGACTTTGTACTGAGCCATCACGGCTAACGCTCCTTGTATCATGGAAGCAATGCTGAGAAGGAAAAAAAAAAAATTGTTCGCCATAGTTGGATCATAAATAAGAACTAAAAAGAAACAAGTGTAACATATTTGCGAGAAAAACAATCCAAGGTGTTATAGAAAAGAAGAGAGCTGTGACAAAAGTAGCAGAACAAACCGCTTCTCGGTTTATTACAGGTCTGTAAAAATAAAAGTTAAAAAACAACAAAGATCGGGAAAAAAAAAACAAAAAAAAAAAACAAAGATCGAAACCGGTACTTCCCACCTCTCTCGGGAGATTTCTTGTCGCTGGCAGGGCAGGGGTTATATCAAGCTTTCCTCTTGGACGCTGTGTTCCGTTTGGTCATGCTCATATGTCAACCCGCCAGGCATCTATTTCTCATCGCGTAGATTGGCGTGCACACCTGGAGTGGAATACTAACTTGTATTCTGCAGGAGGTTGGCGCAAGAAACAACTCTGTCGTCTTAACAGTGTTGTGCAGGCAGAACAATTTGAAGCGCGACTGCAAGGTGTTGATCAACAACCCCTTTAACCAGGCATGGACCCCCTCACCGTTCGAGGAGTGATTTATGCAATTGTTCATTTGCCTTCTGGACGTTTTTATGTTGGTCAGACTATGCATTCCGCACATCAACGGTTGCAAGAGCATTGGCATACACGACAATCTTCTGCTGCTTTGCGCCATCGCCATCTCTATCGTGCAATGTGTGGGCAACCAGCATTCAATTTTTCGGCTTGGCCCTTGGAATGCATCGATCCCACCCTTCATCATACACCTAAAGGCCCTGTTGAGGATGCTGTCTTTCAGTGGGCTGCTGCACCCTCCGAGGGTTTTTGGGTTCGGAAACTTCAAACTCTTCACCTCGTCGGTTTCAATACAGTCCTTCCAATGGCTAGACTGTCGTCTCCATGACGACACTTCCGCCCTCATCGTTGGACACAAATGGGTCCTCGTTCCTTTGCTCCTCAGGCCCCTCGACCTCCTCATGCCTCAGCTCCTCCTGTTTCCCTCCTACCACATTAATTGCTGCTCCATCCGTTCCTGTATCCGCTGATCCTTCTCACACAGCACCCCTCTTACCAACACCCATGGGCTCTCATGCTGCACCCGTTTTACCGACACACCCTCACTGTTTTGTAATAACCCATGTAGTAAGCCTCGCTGAAACCGAGACCAAGGCCAAAAAGGGGGAAAACGACCCCATTCAAGACTCAGGGCCTGGACGAGGCCAACTGTCGGAAATTCCAACAGTCAAAGTCCAAAGGTACCTAGCCCAGGCCGCAGGTCAAGCACACACACTTGTTTGTATGCAGGTACCCAGACAGCATCAGGTCCAAGGGAGAAGTGTGCAACTGTACAATCCGGGCCCTCAACTGTGATTCAATCTGGACGACTGTGGGAAAATTACCCGAGGCCAGACAGCCTCGACATCTGTTACTTAAGGCTGATCTAAGTCAAGCATTCAGTCTTGCTATGCTGCTTTGACGCTGGCTCGACTTTGACATGACACTGGCTTCATGCTGGCTGTGCACAAGCGTTGCAGACGACGGCACGAGGTGGAGGCAGCATGCTGGCGCTTCTTCAGTGCGCCATGCCATGCTGATGTGGCGCTGCCTCTGGTATACGTGGCGCTGCCTATGGTCTGCGTGGCATGCTGATGTGGCGCTGCCTCTGGTATACGTGGCGCTGC